TCTTGGCTTCATTAATTTTTTTGTATCATTCTCTTAGTTTCCATTGAATTGATTTCTGCTCTGATCTTTATTATTTCCTCCTTTGTGTGAGCTTTGGGTTTGTCCTGCTCTTCTTTTTCTAGAAGCTTGAAGTTCAGCATCCAGTTGCTTAATTGGGCGTGCTCTGTTTTCCTAATATGGGTATTCACTGCTATGAATTTCCCTTGTAAGACTGCTTTCATTGTGTCCCATGGATCTGGATATGTTGTATTGTCATTGTCATTTAATTGAAGGAACTATCTAATTTCTTCTTTAATTTCATCTGTGACTCATTGGTTATTCAGAAGTGTGTTGTTCAATTTCCATGTATTTATGAAGTTTTTGTGGTTTCTTTTGCTATTGATCTGCAATTTTGTTGCACTATGGTCTGATAATATACGGGGGGTAACTTCAAGTCCTTTTTACTTACCTAAATATGTTCTATGAGGGAGTATGTGGTCTATTTTGAAGAAAGACCCGTGTGCAGCTGAAAAGAATGTATATTCTGATTTTGTGGGTAGAACACTCTGTAAACATCTGTTAAGTTCATTTGTTCAAGAATTTGATTGAGTTCTAGTATTTCATTGCTTGTTTTTTGTCTAGTTGATCTATCTATTTGTGACAATGAGGTATTGACGTCCCCCACTACTATTGTATTAGTTCATATTTGATTTTTCATGTCCTTTAGTATTTGTTTTATATAGTTGGGTACACTAGTGTTTGGTGCATAGGTATTTATGATTGTCATCTCTTCCCCTTGGATTGTTCTCTTTATAAGGATGTAGAGTCCTTCTTTGTCTTAATCAGTGTTGGGTTGAAATCCACTTGATTTAGAAAGAGGATAGCTACTCCTGCTTTTTTTTCGTGTTTCTGTGGCATGGAGTATTGTTTTCTACCCTTTAACTTTCAGTAAATGAGTTTCTTTTTGAATTAAGTGTGCTTCTTGTATGGAGCATATTTAGAGTTTTTTGATCAAGGCTAGTTGGTATCCTATGTGCCTCACTTATCTGTATTTCAAGTTCTTTTCCCTTGCTTGGGAAGTTTTCTTCCATTACTTCTGTGAACAGTTTTTTTATGTCATCTGCACTCTCTCCTGTTTCTTCTTTGACTCCAGTCAGTCTTATTTTATTCTTCTTTGCATCATCTGGCAGCTGCTGGATTGATTTCTCATGTTCGCTTGCAATTTTGAAGCAATTTTTCTTTTCCTGGTCACTAATTGCAATCTTATCTTCTATATCTGAAATTTTATCCTCACATTGGTTCATTCTGCTGTGCAGAGTTTCGATGGAGTTTTTAATCTCCTGGAAAGCTGTTTGCATCTGTTTTATGGATTCCATTTGTTTCCTATGTTGGGATTCCATCATGTTCCTCAGCTTCTCTCTAGATTTATTAGTCATGTCTTGCACTACAGGCACAATCTCTGCTGTTATTGGAGTCACTTTTCTAGATAAACCAGCCTCACTTGAACTGTCTGAAGAAAAATACTACCACAAAGAAGAAAGCTACTCCTGTGAACACCTGGAAGACCTGAGGTTCCTCTTCAAAAAAACTCTAGTAATGCTCTAGGTACAGATAAATAAACAGGCACCTGTATTGAGATTCCTGTTTTTAATTAGATCCATAATGTATATAATCTTGCTAATACTATGGCTCTCAGGCTTCCTATAATTTATCTAACGTCCCTCTTTGCCTTACTTTCTCCTCCTCAGGAGCATGGAATTCTGATATGCTTCTTATATTTAGGCTCTACATCCCCAACCTAATAGTAATGTTACTCTCCTGACAAATTCATCAAGCTTTCTCCCATCAAACAGTGGCTCATATGAACAAAAAATCTTTTTTCACTGTCTTTTGACAGATTTTTTTTTTTTTTTTTTTTTGGTACTGGGGATTGAACTCGGGTCTTTGCGCTTGCGTAGCAGGCGGTGAAACAACTGAGCTAAATCCCCGGCCCAACAGATTCTTTTTTCTTCAACCCAGCCAATGAGGACAATAACCCAAGGTAGGTGGAGAGCAAATAATCCCTCGGAGATAGGATCTGTAGCCCCTTTGAGGAGGAAGTAGCTATATAAAGATGGAGACCTCTACTCAACAACTCATAAAGAATTATGGGAATATGTGTCTTTCAGGGGGAAATGAGGCAGGTGACTAGGGAATGACAAAGCTGACTGGACAAGTAGGCATAACCTGTTAATTACAAAATCCCAAGCACAGGACAGTTTCCAAAGCCCTTCAAGTGAATGTCCCATGAGAACTCAATCAGATTTTCAAATGGATGGCCTAAACCTGATGCCATCCTGAGAAGGGGCAAATACAGAACGACAGTTGACATTGAATTTTTTGTTACTGTGTTCTTTCATGATAACCTACTCTCATCCTGTAGAGTGTATTTATTTTCCTATTTTCATTGGCCCAATTTCACTCTGCAGAACTTGGCTCTTTTCCCCCTACCTGTAATAAATGTAAAAAAAAACCCATAATGAACAACTGAAACTCACACTCAGCCCAAGGGTTAGACTAGTATCAATAAATTGTGTCTCCCTATGTGTTGTTCTCATGGTCTGAGCGCCCCTTTTGAATTTTGTATGTAGCATTCATTTTGTTTTTTAAATCTTATTTATAGTGTAATCATATGTATATGTAATATACCGTTTGGTTTTACTTCCTCACAATAATATGTTACTAAGATATATACATTTTGTTACATATAGCTGGTATTCATTTTTCATTCTTGGATAATATTCATTTGAGCACACTACAAATTTTTTAGCCCATCCTATCAATGTATATTTAGGTTGTTTTCCTGTTGTTCCTGTGTGCTGTTGTGAATAACATTCTTCTATGTCTTTTTTATAGGAGTTTCTCTTGGTTATATGCTAATGTACAGATTGCTAAATGGTAGGTTATGCATACATTTAACTTATAAAATAATGCCATAATAGTATTGCTTAGACTTTGGAGGGAAAATTGAAGTGTAACCTTAAAGACTACAGAAAAACTGACTTTTACAAGTAGACATTTAGTTCCTTGTGAAATCTCATGATTGTTCTGTAGTTCTGTCTCCATGCTTGTTTTTCTGTGTTTATCTTGTCCACTCCTACTTCCCATGAGGGGAGTCATTTTATCTTCCCTATTACTCCCAGAATCTGCTGTTGATTGACATTGACTGTCATGTGTGAATAGCAGACATGCCAATGAATATCTGTTGAGTGAATGAAAAATTATTACTATTTCAGTACTGTGCCCACAGTTACTGACACAGATTTCTGTTCTTTTCTTCCAATAAATGTAGGTGATTACTGGCCACTGAGCAATAACCTGAATTGAACCATCTACTTCTCTTGTAAGCAATATGGTTCCTCCCACTGTATGTATAGACACTGATTTTAGTTACGGCTGGTTTTTATTAAGTGATGTCAATTAGGCTGACATGATTATCACTTAGTAAGCCCCTATGGTCACATTCATTGGAGATAAGCTTCTAACATGTTACTTAGAATATTGTTCTAGAAATTCTGTAAGTAATTACATTTTCAAAATGCTGCTGGCTAAAAAACCTCTCCCCTACTCCCCCCCCCCCCATACTGGAGATTGAGTCCAGGGCCTTCAAACTGAGCTACATCTTTGTCCAGCTCATTTTTTGTTTCAAGACAGGATTTCACTAAGTTGCCTAGGCTGCCCTTGAACTTGTGATCTTGCCTCAGCCTTCCAGAGTGCTGGGATTACAGGCATGTACCACTGTACCCATTCTATCTTTTTTTTTTTTGTATGAAGCTTAGAAAGTTTCTGAAATTTTAGAAAGGTAAATTATACTTTAGCCTCACCTAGCCTTCTATTTTATGTCCAGGTGTTACGATTTGTATCTAGATGTGCCCCCAGAGCCTCATGTAGCCAAAGGTGGGAGTTTTGGAAGGTGATTGGATCATTGGAACCATGATACTCATCAATGGATTAGTTTACTGATAAGTTTATAGTTAAATGTGATGTTGGGAGGTAAAGCTTTGTCAAAGGCAGTGACGCTCTGGGGGTGTGGCCTGGAAAGGTATAGTTCCCTCCCTCCTTTCTCTCTGCTTCCTGCCTGACATCCCTGAGATAGGAGATTAGGGATAGGGCAGAACCTGTCAAAGAGGAGTAATCTTTCAGTCGTGAAGATCCAGGGCACATGCACAGAACCTAGGATCCAAAATGACTGCAGTTCCTGAGCACTGTACTTGGAACCAATCAGAAAATGCTATTTTCAAGTGAGTCTTCGATAAGACAGTTTAAATATGATGCCAGGCCAAGTGAGGTTTTGATAGGACAGCTGTCTCAATGCCTTTTTTTTTTTTGGTACCAGGGATCGAACTCAGGAACTTGTGCTTGCTCGGCAGGCGCCTGAACCACTGAGCTAAATCCTCGGCCCCTCAATGCCTTATTTACATGAGAAAGAAGCCAATCTAGAATACAAAAAAAAAAAAACTCCTTTCATTATCCTCCTGGCCAAGGTAATGAATGAACACATTGCCCTACACTCACTCTGCATAGTGTACTTTCCACTTTCAATAAATGTACATTCCCACTACCTTTTCTGTGTGTCTTATCCAATTCTTTGTTTCGGACCCCAAGAAACTGGAAAGAATTTCCCAGGACCCATCATTCTGGTAACATTTCTTGATGAGCAAGCTAAGAGGCAAGACCCCTTTTTGGGGGAAAGTTTACTTTTCTTTTTTCCCTTCTCTTTCCCATTTTTGGTTACTGATTGTAGGCATGAGTCAAGGAGTCAAGACAGGTAAGAGTCCCCATGATGTCTGCTGCTAACCCAGTCACAGAACAGGCCATTTTAGACTCCACTGGGTACAAAAAACCTTCTACATACCATGCAGATTCCATGTACATATGACTTAAAGTTTAATGTGTCTCTTTTGCTCCTCTTTTGTCCTTCCTAATACTTTATTCAGCTTTCTCATTCTTTGGGGGACAATAGCTATCAGTAACTTGGTCTCCTGCTTGCATAGTCACATACCCTAGCCTGCCCTTTTTTTGTGCTCATCACAAGCCAAATCTCATTTTGCTTTTCCCCTAAATGGCCTTTTATTTATCTCTGGCTATTGTTAATGAGTCACCTGCTTTAGGGCCTCATTGTCTAAAACCTCAGGAACCATCCCACTTCACCTTTCTGCCATATTTCCCATCTGTTCTCATGAACACCAGAAAATCTTTTATCACTTATACATAAGAGATAAGTGGTCTCCACTTTGGGGAAACATATGGGCCTCCTTGGGGAACTTATGGTCCTCCCACCCTCTTTCCTTCTAAAGCTGGATAAATTCCCTCCTTGTTCCTCTTAACAAATTTAGGCAACTTAGAAACGTGTGCCTGAGGGCCTGAATAGAAAATGAATGTCAACCCACACTGCTATGAGTATGAGGAAATAGAGCCAGAGTATTTTAGTTAATAGATAATAGGCCCTATCTTTGTAGTTGGAACTTTTGAACTTGAACTTTTCTTAAATGCCAAGGAATAGGCTTCTACCTCTACTGCCTTAAAAGATAATTACCAAAGTGTTTTATGATTGTCATAAATGGGAGGGACACTCTCAAGTAGTTAGATGGAGCCAGTAGGGGGCTTCACTTGTCATTAAGGAGTCATAGTGGCACTGGTGCCACTCACTTCACCAGAGATGTCTGGTAGCTCAATTTGAGTTTCATAGAAGATACTCCAGAGCTCAACAAGTCTCCATTTTTCTGCAGGAATGCCTTCAGAAGGACCCAGACCTAGTTATTTTGTCTCCATGGGCTCCACGAAGCATAATAGGAAATACACTTCCATCCCACCAACCTCACCATTAGGCCTCACCATTAACCTAGGAAATGGTGTGAAATGGGTAAAGAATGTTAGTCTATATTACAGTACTAGTCTTCAGTTAGATATTTTCTGCAAAAGACAAGGAAACTGGCCTGAAATCCCTCACATTTAGGCTTTTATGCCTTATCAGAAACTGTACCTCTCCAAAGGCCCAAGAGATATGGTATGTAAGCCCCTGAAGAGGAGATTGATGATCCTATCTTCAGACTCCCCCAACTGTGTCTCGGGTATATAGGTCTCTCTTACCTGTTGAGTTAAAGAAACAACACTGGAAGGACTCATTGACTCTTCCTTATAAGCTTTAGGCAGGTAAGTCAGTCCCATCCTCTCCAAGAGACTCAGAAACTCCATCAGTGGCTACTCCCCAGAGAGACCCACTTCTTCACAGCCCCTTTCTTATGCACCTCAGACAGTTCTAAGCCCCACAGGTCATACTCAAATGGAATTTCTTGCTTTTCCAATTCACAACTCATCCTGCTTGCCCCTAAGAAAGGTCTCAAGAGTACTTGAGTTTAGGTTCTTTTTTAGTGGCAGATATCCAACAATGCAAAGAATGGTTAAATTGATTTTCAGAGGATGCTATTAGGTTTACAGATGGATTTCAGACTTTAACCCTTGCTTTTGACCTGTCATGGTGAGATGTCCAATTTGTCTTGGCTATTTGCTCTCCCTTAGATGAAAAATATAGAATCCTGGAAGAAGCTAGGAGATAATACAGATGAACAATATGCTGCAGCAAGAGTAGGGAATCATCCCAGAAGTTACTGTCCCTCCGACAGAACCAGACTGGGACTATAGTCCTGGACTAAAACTGAAGTCTTAAATGATGACTGTTCTTATGGAAGTAAACAGATACATTAAGAAACCTGCTAAATATGAAAAGGTGAGAGAGGTTACACAGGGCAAAGAAAAATTCAGATGTCTTTCATTACCAATTAGATGAAGCTTTCTATAAATATACTTAAAACTTAGATCCAACATCCGAGGAGAGAGAGCATTTCTTTAGTCAGCCAAGATACTAGATGCAAATTACAAAAATTTAAGATGGGCCCCAAGACACGAATCAAGGAAAGAGTTGTTGTTTTATATGCAAGGAAATTGGGCACTGGGCATATGTTTCTGTTATAGGCCATTGCCTAGACGCTGCTCCCTGTGTCAGGTGGCTGACGTGACTGATTCATGGCACCAGAGGATTGATTGTCCCCATTCCCAGAAAGGGGCTAGACAACCCAAAACCTCCCATTCTGGTTAAGAGGACTGAAGGAGTCTGGGGGAAACTGCAATATACCTATCCACAGACATTTTCATCTCTTGTAAGGAACACTAGGTGACCCTGGATGTTATGGGTAAGTAAATTAAATTTCTTATAAATTAAAAACTGGCCTACTCTGTTTCAAATTCCTTCCTTGGAAAATTTATCTCTAGGTCTCCAGACATAATTGAAGTGGAGGGGCATCTGACTCAGAAATTCTATATTCCTTGTTGTGTCTTACATCTAGATGTCCTCCCAAAGCCTCCTCCACTCATAGGTGGGAGCTCATGGGTGTGTGATACTGGATTAGGGGTACAATAATTGGTCCAGTGACTGGTTTGGCATGGAAAATGTGGATAAGCCCCATGCTGGGTGTGAGTAATACTAACCAATAGGTTTGTAGCCTGGATGGACTATGAAGGGGAAGAAGGAAAGCAGGCCCACTGCTTCTTGCTGCTTTTGTTTGCCCAGCCAAGGACTATTTCTCCATTGCCATATTTCTCCTTCCATGCCTCCCTGCCTTGGAGCCAGCTGACTGTAGACTGAATCCTCTACAAACTATGAGCTAAAACCTTTCCTCCTTTAACTTGTGGGTGTTGGATATTTTCATTGCCATGTCCCAACAATGAGAAAGTAACAAAAACACTCCTGCTTTGACATGTCAATTCAAAAGTCAGATGTTCAACCATGAAGTTTTAATTGTCCCACAGCATTGTATTCCCTTACTAGGAAAAGATTTAGTAGTAAAATTGAGGGCAGTTCTTCAATTCTGGCAACGGCTTTAGGGATAAAGTAGCATCTGAAAAGATAAAAGAGCCAACCAGACCCTCAAACAAACTGGCAAAAGTTGCCAGAAAAATTCTGAGTCTTGGGAGTGATGATTGCCAAGTCTCTTCATGAGGAGTTGAAACACCCCCAAAACTGGGATAAATATGAGCTCATTTGAGATGCTAGATGGGAGGCCTTTTCTATTTTCTGATATAATATTGGGCTCAGAAGCTGTAAGATACAGTATTTTATTAATCTGGGCCAAGTAAAACAAGCTATCCAACTATATCAAAAAAAGTCTTGCCAGCCTCTGGCCTGGGGGTATCACCTTGTATCCATCCTGGAGACCAAGTGCTCATTAAAACTTGGAAAAAATTTCTACAGACCAATTAAAGCCAAAATGGAAGGGCCTTTTTCAGTGATCCTCACCACACCCACTTCAGTAAAGATGGCAGGAATAGATGTATAGATTCACCTTTCTAGGATAAAGTCAGCCTCACCTAAACTATATGAGGCAAAGGACCAACTAAAAGAAGAAAACTACTACTGTGAACCTCTGAAAGACCTGAGGCTCTTTTTCAAAAAGCAAGACTCTAGTACTGCTCCAGGGGCAGATAAGTAGAATCATTAATAGTCCCTGATCCACCACATTTTAAATGGGCATCTGTACTGGGGCTCCTGCTTTTAACACAATTCATAATGTGGGTAATCTTGCTAGGGGTGTGGTTCTAAGGCTCTTGAAAGTTTATCTAATATCCCTCTTCATCATGCTTTCCTCTCCACAGGAAGCATAGAAGTAAAACTCCTTAGAAAACTTCTCCCAGATAATAGCATGGAAAAATAATGTCTCTAATTGCTAGATCTGTCATAGTCCATCTTTTAAAACAGACCAGAAAATATTCTGCTCCCTGCCTCATCAACCTAACAAAACCTAAATTGTCTTCATTCAAGGCTTCAAAAGATCCAACTTCAGATAATAGTGTAGACTATAGCTCATGATTCTTCTGACAAATTCACCAAGCTTTCTCTCAATGAGCAGAGAACTCAACAAGTCTCAATATATAGGAATTTTCTCATTGTCTTCTCAGAGGGTCTTTCCAGCTCAGCTGGTAAGCCTCAACATCCGTAGGTAGTCAGAAAGCAGATAATCCCCAGTAGGTAGGGCCTACAAGTCCTTTCAGCAGAAATCAGCTATATAAAGAAAGAGACCTCCACTCCCTCAGCATCCCATGAAGAATTATGGGGATTATGTCTCTCAGGGGAAATGAGGTAGGAGATTAGGGCTGGGGCAAATGGATAAAAAAAACTGAGTGTAACCTGTTAGAGTCACAGAGATCCTTGAAATTCACAGAACACAGAAATCAGAATGACCTGGCAGTTCCTGAACACTGTACTTGGGCACAATGAAAAAAGTGCTATTTTCATTTCTTCATTTGTATCTGGTATAAAACCAAGTGAGTCTTCAATAGGACTGCTTAAATTTGGCACCAGGTCAAGTGAGTTTTTGATAGGATAACCTTCCCAGTGCCTTTTTTACACGAAAGAGAAGCCAATCTAGGATTTCCAGATACAAAAACCTCATTCCATTATCCTCATGGCCATAGTGAATCTGTTCACTGGTCTGCTCTCTGCAGAGCATACTTCTTTTCCACCTTCAATAAATGTACACCCCCTTTACCTTTTCTCAGGGTCTTGTC